CTGCATCCTAGAAGAGCACATAACTTAGTCAAGGCTTTTACTCAGTAATGTGAATTTTTATTTCACAAGTATCAAAAAATATTAATGCAAATACAAATAGGTGAAAGTAAGGAAGACTGAATATGATGTACACTATTACCTATAAGATCAATATTTTGTACCTTACTCAAGTAGCATTTATTCTATAAAGGTTAAGGAACGAATTTTATGGTGTCCTACTTTTTTAAAATTGCAACTAAGTAAGCTGTACACACACAAAGAGAAACAGCATGGGAGACAGAAAGAGAAGAAATAGTAATTGAGAATTGTATCACACTCAACTGATCAATGTAATTACATGTCAGTGCCACAGTTCAGTATGGGTAAAACAAAGATTATTCCATTACTATTCCACTAGCCAAGGGACTTCTCAGAGTTCAAAATATTCTGAATAAATACAGCTGATAGACTATGAGTTAAGAATATAAAAATACTTGAGAACAATAAAAGAGTAAGGGGCTGATCCAAAGACAGTTGATGGAAAGCCTAAGACTTATTTTATTTGGCTCTAAATAACCCCTGGAGATCAATTTCCTATGATTTACATTAAACCTTACACTGCTTATCAAAACCAAATTACATTAGATTTTTACACCAAAGTCCTTTACTACATAAGTCAAATACAGTATATACAAGAGGTCAAATATAAAAGAGAATTAAGGGCTAAAACATACTAAAGATGTCATTACTTCTGAAAGTTAAACAGGCTGTCAACGCTGAGTACATTTACATGGCAGTTTAAAAAATACCCTCTAAAAATTTTAAAAGCATTTTGGAAAACAAATGCCACCCAAAAGCCACTCAGTTTTCTGAAAGAGCTGCCAGCAGAATAAATTTAACCTCTCGTGATGCTGTAACGTTAGCCACAGAATGACTGAAATAAATAAATGCATGTGACCATTACTGGTTCTTTATTTCTATTTATTTGGTGTCAAAGATAGGGATGGGGGATAGAATCAAATATCTCATTCTGAAGTGGAACTAGCAAAGTGTCTTTTTGTGTCTTCCTACATCTTAATGATGTTTCTGGACATTAGTTTCAGAGCTGTTTTAAATCAAATGAACGTTAGCTCAGTTAAAAGTGACACAACCTACAATTTGAAGGAAGATTGGAATTTGACTTTAAAGACAGAATTGATTAGACAAAGAATGTTAACAATTTATTGTTTTGGAAAGGACAAGTTCACTTATCATTCACATATATGAACTGATACAAGTAAAAAGAAATTATTTTTACAAACAGAAAGAACTAAAACCATTAAAGGGCAAGTGCAAGAGAACTCATCCTTCTCTGATAATTTTGGATCTGCTTAGAGCTGCAGGCTATCTCTCAGCCATCTGCTCCTTACAGGAGGGGTGTTATCTGCTGAAGGCAACTCTTTCCAAACATTCAGCACTTGGCATTACAACAATAACCTTTGAAGCTTTGCAGGGAAATTTCTCCCTACTTCCAAGTTCTGCTCACAGCTTTATTTAGAGTTAACATCCATGCTCTATCTCTGCACAGATAGCAAATACAGCAACATAGGTTTAAAGGGCTTACTCAGATTTACCTTGCCTACAATACAGACAGGCTTAACAGTACAGCACAGAGGATTTATTTAAGAAAGGCTTCCATCTCTTAGCTCCACAATTTGAAGGAAAAGCCTTATAATAAATCAGATACAATGGGCAATTATAGCTTAAGCTTAATGAGATTCTTCTCTAACTGTTTATCTGAGTTTATAAAACATGGCTAAGAACGTCTAAGTGTCAGAGATGGTAATTCTTTGTTCAGGTCAGCCTCCACCCACCCAGCTGTCCTCAGTTCTCAACCTCTGCTTCCCCTCTCCCGTGCCCTACCATTCACATTAATTACTTGTTATTCCAAGGAGGCTACCACAAGCATTGCCTTTCTTCTAGGTGATCCTCTTATTTACCTTTGAGTTGGGGGGTTGGATACAACTGGAAAAAACATTTCTGATTTTGTCTGGAGCCAACAACTTTTAAAACTCGAAGGTGATTTTTCATTTCCAGTTCACATCTAAGCAGCTACGTGCACCTATTTGAACATATTTTGGCTAACACTGCTGATTGTTCTTCCTGACTTAGTTACCTAAAATAGTTAAGGCTATTACTCCTTTATCTTAATCGATCTTCTATCCACTTGCCTGTTGTCCACTCTGGATTGTTTCCCCCAAAGCAATTTGAGATAACATCATCTTGTTAAATAATGTATAAGACATTATGTATTTTGTACATATTAAGTTAATGATCTAAGGTGCACTATTACAGACATCACACTGGCACATTACCAATACAAGTGTCACATGATGAAGTTGCTATGTTGGCTGTATTTATAAGAAAATGCCTTCTTTTTCCTTTGACATGTTTTCTAGGATTCCTGTTACCCATACACACATGCCAGAGCTCACAGTAATGAACTTATGCAGATAACGGTTAACAGAACAATCTAGTTGCAGATTCAAGAACTTAGCATCAGCAGAGCCAATTTCTTTGTTATCTGAATTTTTAAACTTTTGCAATGATTCTATTTTCAGCATTGCCCCAGTCATGTTCCTTGTCATCCAACACGTCTTTCTTCTTCAGTTTATCACTGTGCTCTTCCCTCCCTAATAAGCCAGTCCTGAGCCAGCAAAAGCACTTCTGCTCAGGCTTCCTTCAAATAATCAATTTAGTTCATTCATAGACAAAAATTTAGAATCTACCTTAAAAGAAATATATATTTAAAAGCTTTACCAAACAGGCTGAGATTACTAAACTGGTTAGCCTTGGAATAATTTTCAAGACCAACCTCAAATCTCTCTTTCTTCATTGTTCATCATAAAATACACTCTGGGAAATGTTGCTTTGGGCTGCAATGTCTAAGTGCTCCTTGTATTGATATCATCACTCCCTGTGTGTGTTTTCAGTTGAATATTAAACTGTTCACAACAGGAATGACTTGGACTACATAACCATTTATAGTATCTTAAATTCTTCATTTGACAGTCTCGATTTTCCTCCCAAACATCCTGCTATTTAATAATATGCATATACAAAATTCTAGTTTGAGTTCATATTCCATTTTAAATGAAAGAGGTGTTTTCAGCAGTGCAAACCAATTTTACATAGCCTATGATTTACTTAATTAAAACTACGGAAATTATGGACTAAAACTTTCTGAAATTGCAACCTGCTGGAAAGATCTATTCTCCAATTATAAGCATGAGGCTGGCCTAGAATTACTTTCATTTTCCCTAGATTCACTCTCATTGACACAACTCTGTCACCATGAGTGCCAAGTACTACTTTTGGGCAAGTTGTCAGCTCTTTTAACCACAATATGCTCTTTCTCTGCTGTCTCTGTAAGAAGCTGATAGTAGCAGAGGTAGCTGGTAGAGGAAAACCAGCCTGGAAAAGATGAAAGGTGTCTGTACTCCAGGAGCCATTACTGCCACCTCTTTCGATCCCGTGAATGATACATGACCAAAAGTGTAAATTCTCCTGTAAATACCACTCCATCATGATTTAGCAGGCGTCAAAGAAGTAGTTCAATGTTTAAATTTTGTCAAAGCTTCTCATATCTCTCTTTCTAGGTCTGGATTTTGTAACTTGCTTTGTAAAATACCTCATTCTCTCCTCTTGTCTTCTTTATAAGCATGTGGTTTTAGAAAAATTAGAAATAAAACTCAAACTAATTTCAGACATATGCAGCTTTTCAGGATAAAAGTTTATCATATCTGCTAACAAATAACCCAGATAGCTGAGTAAACAATTAAGAAAACTAATTGTTAAAATTTCCCTGAATGCTTAAGACAAAAGTATCTGCCCGAGAGAACTGTCAGAAATCCAAGACTCCACATTCAACTCTTAGGTTGTGCCAGGGATTCCTTTTAAACACTCACCGCCATCATGGAGTTGAACTGCCTCTTGCAATGAAGAGGCTCAGAGTGTGTAAGCAAAAGAGGACAGATTACCCCCACAATGTTGCTGTGCATCTGCCTCGACTCCAAGCCCTGATATCTCCTTCTGCAGGGAAACCTGCTCTGCAAATAGCCACCCGGGTTAGTATCTCCTGGAAGCAGTCCTCTTTGACCATTGTAACCTGAACATCTGTTCAGTGGAAGGCAGTAAGCTATATTTCAGTGTCATCAACATTTGTTAGATCTAAGTCTGCATGTCCTACAGAAAATATTAAACATTTCTGTGGACTGCTGTACACCTTGGTGTGTGCAAGGTAGTTCAGTGCCTGCACAACCTCAGGCCTACAATAGAAAATATCAGGATTGCCAAATCTAAAATGCTGAAATTTGTTCTGTCCTTTGTCCTCTGACAGACATGAGGAACATCTCTCAGCAAGTCTTGAAACTTGGGCTCTTGGCACTGTTAAATGTTTGCTAAAGTCAGTCTGCATTAATGGTAATGAAGGTTACCTATAATAAAGGTTAAAGAAATATAAAACACTCTTAGCAATCTATGGAACGGCCAGTTTGAAAACGGCTCTTCTTCAGCATTTTACTGCACAATAGAAAATAAATACCATTCTGGGTTGGAGGGCAGTAGGACATTGCTCATGATGTTGACTAGCTTTGAGTCTGTCTGGGATAGGGAAAAGCATCTTTACAAAGCCCTCAACAAGAATTAACGACTGTTGCTCGTTTTCCTGCTGAGAATCCTCACCAGGGAGCACCGGGCAGGGGACGCCACCGCGCCCCGGGCACAACCCTCAGCCGTGTCCCCCCAGCGCCGAGAAGGGAGAGGGAGTAGACAGGGACAATCCACCGCGACCCCTGGGGGGCCGGGCCGGGCCCGGGGCTGGATGGGGGGCGGGCGGAGGGCCGGGCCCCGCCGAGGACCCCCGAGGGAGGGGCTGCGCTGAGGAGCGGGGTGGGCGCAAGGAGCCCTTGGAGGAGCGCGGAGACACCGCCTGGGCCGGGAGAGCCGCGGGGTCCGCGGAGAGGAGCCATGGCAGGGGCCGCCCCCGCAGCCCCGCGCCTCTGGCTCTGCGCGGCCCTGATGGGCTGCCTGGCGGCTGCCGGGGCCCGCCGGAGAGGTAAGCGGCGCCGGGAATCGGGCACCAGGAATCGGGCACCGGGAATCGGGAGCGTCGCCGCCAGCAGGTGGACGGGAGGGCGCAGGGCGGGCGGCTGCTTTGGGCGCCGCAGGCGGAGGGGCAGCGCCGGGTGCTCCCCTGTGTCCCCGCATCGCCTGCGCATCGCCCCGCAGTTACGTGCCACTGGTTTCACTGGAAGGGGCGTAACTTTACCAACAGAGTAGGAACTGTCCTTGTCGTAGCGCTCTTGCGGAGAAGACCTGCCTAGGGAAACTCGAGGACCAGGAGTGCTGGTTGTCCCACTCTCTCTTCATGGCGCTCTTGCCCTGCGTGCTGGAGCACGGGCAGTGCGTTGGCACATCCTTACCTGGGACTTCTGCAAACCCCGTGTTTCTGTTGTTTCAAATTCCGGACAGAAAATCCACATAAAGAGTAGGTGCAATAGTGTATTACATTGAAAACGACTACAAAAAGTTCTACAAACATCTATTTTACGTTTTTATAGAGGTTATGCAATTATTTCCTACCTTTGCAAAACACCCCTTAGGGTGTGGACATGAGTGGTTGAAAAGTGTTTTTAACACCAAATCAAATAAGGCTATTTATAAAGATGTATTAATGTGTTCATGTTGATTTGATTTTCTTTGTTGTTCTGTGCATTGGAATAGTCATATTCCTGTTCAGTGGGATTGCAATACTGTCATTGTTACAAGATTTTTGCTCACATTCTCATTTGTCTCATCCAAGGAAATGGCATCTTTTAACCAGTTACAGTAATTTTTATATTTTGCTTTGAAAATGTTACTCTAAATAGTTTTTTTCGGCATAGCTTCTTCCGAAAAGTGAAATTATTTTTATTTTAGTATTTTGGAAGAGTTTAAATCCACAAATACATCTAAGTACTTTTATTAAATGCAGTCCTAGTTTTAATTTCTGCCTTGGGATATTGATATGCTGCCTCCTTTGCAGTCAGTAGATGCAAGAAGAGGCACATTCATGATCAGAAAGGGCACTTACTAAAGAGTTTAACTGAGGCCACTTGCCAGACCCTGACCTTTGGACAGGAGGAGATATAAACTGATAAGCTGTTTATACCAGAGGAACTGAGTTGCCAGTCCTGCCACTCTGCCCTTGCCTATCTGTACTCTGCTGTGGCTCTTTTTCTCTTCTCTGCTCTGGTTTGCATTCATCATTTCTCAGTTATTGACTGCTCCATCATGCTGGAAATATTATGGACAGGTGGACAATCACTGAGCCTTCTTTGCACATGGATGGAACAGAGATATGAACAGGAAGTTGAAAAGCCCCTCCTTTGTGGAACTAATTTTCTGCCTGAGTGCCTCAGAGGCAGTTGTCAGGAGCCTTAAATATCGCTTTGGGGAAAGTGAGCTCTCTTGTTAATTTCAGAAACCTCTTTGACTTTTGGTTAAGGTGAGGTATTCAGAGTACCTATTAGCTGACCCAGTTTATGTCAATCTTGATACAAACCCTGATGTGTTGGCAAAGCTTTCATCTACATCTCTCCCAACACGCTCATCCACTGGCACAATAGTATCCTTGTCTTTAAAATGTTGCAGCCTAGGGTCACATTTCTCAATATCTGGCAGGACCGAGAAGGTCTGTGATGGATCCCAGTAAAGCTCACTGTATTAATTCTGAAGACATCCAGGCAAAAGCAAATATGGAATTAAATACTTCCTGGTATGCAGAGACTCGAGTTGAAGAACAGTAGAGACCTATATGCAATATATGGAGGGTTTGTGGAAAGAAGCACAGAATGTGATAGAATATTCTGGGGAAACAGCGACATATATTCCCAGGATGGATTGCTTTTTCAGTAGACAGTATGTAGTATCTGGACCTCCAAATAGAAAAGAGAGTTTGACTTTCTAGAAATAAGTCTCTCCTGATCACATGTATCCTATTGCATGTATCTCCTTTGAGTTAAGTTAAACCAGAGATGCACAATCTGCAAAGAAGCCTGAATTTCATGATCTCAATCTCAAGTATTTGTTTGTGTGTTTCATAATTAGAATTTCCTTATTCTATGGCAAATATTCCAAATTAAAGATATAAAATCACTAATATATTTAAAGGTCCAAAAAGAAATAATTAAAAAGAATATTCCCATATACATGGAAAGATTTCCATCAAGAATAATCGTGATTAAATGCTAAATTTTGTTAAAACTTACAATGAGTTTTCCATTTTGTGTCAGAACACGTTAGAATTTTTCGTGACTGTGGGTGAATTCAAGACAGCAGTAGTGCATACATCTTCCCGTACTTTAATGTTCTCACATACTAGGCAGAGTTGGTAGGTAAGCCTGCCCTACAGGTAACCTTCCTCATCACTTTCCAGCTATCAGACCCTGTTTTCAGGTCCTTATAATTTTGTCAGACTTTACTCACTGTGGAGTGACTCATTGGAGAGAGACTATTTACAAGAGCACATAGTGACAGGACAGGGGGTGGTGGTTTCAAATGGAAAGAGAGTAGATTTAGATTAGATATTAGAAAAAAATTCTATACAATGGGAGTGATGAGGCACTGGAACAGGTTGCTCAGGAAGCTGTGGCTGCCCCATCCCTGGAAGTGTTCAAGACCAGGTTGGATGGAACTCTGAGCAACCTGGTCCAGTGGAAGGTGTCGCTATCCATGGCAGAGGGATTGGAACCACATTATCTTTAAGGTCCCTTCCAATGCAAACCATTCTATGATTCTATAAAATTGCTGGGTGTTAGACACAGGCAAAACTTTTCTGGAGCACAACATCAAAATCAGTATTCGTCATTCTGAGAGTATTGTTTTAAAGAATGTTTATATCAAAATATATTTTTATTTAATGCATCCTGAAAAAGTAAATTGTGACTTCAGTGGAAAATTTAGCCGACTCTCCTCTTAAATGCCATGGTTTGAGCAGATCTGGTCTTCAAGAGTAACTTTTTCACAGAGAACATGATATTCATTTCTTGTCCCTATCTATCCATAAATATGATAGTTTTATTTGTTTCTGCTGTTGTTGGAGTCAGACAGCATTTCAGATGTGTAAAACTCAAATGTGCAAAAAAGTAATTTTTATTTGTGTTATTGGTGATGGTAGTTATTTTCAGTTGTTTTGCAGAATGTGTAAGGAAAGGAAAAGAGAAAAAAACATCAACCAGTATTACACAACTCTGAAGTTTCCATACAATAACTGTGTAAACATTAGCATACTTCTAGAAAGGAAGAAAGATTACACAAAATGCTGGATGACATTTTAAAGTGATATGCATAATAAGAAACTTATAATTTGATCTTTAGTAGGATTTATAACCCTATTACAAGTGAGTACAGTCAACTACTTTAAAGATCTATCAAATGATGATCTAATTAAACTGTGGAGGAAAAGAAAATAAAGACTTGTCTCATGTCTGGCTTGATTTATTAATGGAGAAGGTAACAGATATTAATTGTTTCAGGAGTGGCTCAGTTACAGGAAAGGATACTAATGAGGGTGCTCTATGAAAGGAAGAATTCCAATAAAAAATAGAGGACAGGAAGAAACTTTCACCATGGTTCATAAACTGCTTGTGCTGTAGCTTGCTTGGAAAACATTTTAATAACACACATGACTGACCTGTGATTCTTCAAGGGCTTTTCTTTAAATTCCAGTGGAGGTAAGTTCTCTGTAAGGTCAAATTGTATGGACACAAATAGCCTACAGGCTACTACGAGCAACTCAGAAGCACAGTGGTGGCACAGTCAATCACATCGACTTCCAGCTGCCCTTAAAGGCTAGAAGACAAAGCTATTGTTACCTGCCTGGGTAGCCTAAAGCCATATTGGATTAAATCTTCAGTCTAAGACTATGGGATTCTCATGCTGTGTGCTAAAAGAGATGAAGTCTGTTCTTTCACTAAGGCTTCTCCATTTAAAGGTAGAGAATTACCTGGTTTGGAAACTGTTTTATAGTTGTGGTTATCTAGACAAAGACACAAAAAATGTGGAAGATTTTTCATTATTGCATGATTTGAACCAAAATATGTTTGTAGTCAGTGACACAATTATACCACGCAAAATATGCGACAAATACAGACAAACTCAGGACCGAAAACTGAAGTTCAGAGCATTCATATTCAAAATATGACATCAGAGAGCTTTGCTTACAGCTGCATTTTAAAATTCATTAGCAACATAGTGAAAGCAAGAATTAAGATTCACTGTGTCATTCAGTATAACCTGAAATTCTGTTCACAGTCAGCATCAGTTGGTATCCATTTTTAAAAGCAGGGTAAATAGATAGATATACTTCAAGTGTAATTTATTTATAAACATTCTTCTACTTTATTTTTCTCTACTTTCACTTCCCAAGCACATTCCTGAGAAAGAATGGCTATTCAGTACATTGCATGTAAATATAACATTACTCAGAACTTCTGTTGTCACTGTCTTTGACAGGAGTCAACTCAGCTATCAGATCAGACTCAGAAATTCTGGCATTCTGCTTTATTTCTGAATGAGTCTGCATTGTAAAAAAAAGCTATCATAAAACTTCTTTGTATTCTGATTCTTCATTTTACCTATCAGAAATCTTGAGATATTTTTTGAGGCCACGAGGTCACTTAGATGTCCAAAAATAAGTTTTTCAGTTGTATTTACCTTATTATAATTTAACCTGTCAGTCATGCAAATTGACATAAAATGCATAACCAAGTGTCTACCCATTTCCATACACACTTTTTGCTATTATCTGCAAGTACACATACAAACTGTATGCAACTATCCAACTACCTCTCATTCGTTTGAGGGAATTCTTAATTTCATGCATTGGAATCCTGTAAAATGATAGTCTATTTATGAAAGAACTTTGGATAATCCTTACTTCAGGTAAGATTTTGATCTTCTAATATATCTGACACCCCATTTATATTCAGGTTCTTAGGTTTAATAAACATCAGTGCAACCAGAAAGTCAAAATCTAGATAGACTGTATAAACATATTCCTTCCCTCTGTTTTTACATCTAGGGTAAATGGTTACTAATTTGCATGTATTGTCCGCAAAAAAGAAAGTAAGTTACCACATGATGAATTCTATTAAATTTCAGAGTGCTAACGTGAATTTGTTGTTACTAAGACTTCAATATGTTTTTCTGCAAAATTAGTTTCAACCGTATCGTGATATATCCTTATTTTCCCTTAAAAATACTTAACATCTTTTTAAAAATACTTGTTAGACATTCTGCCTTGATACTTGAAATGCTCTTGCTCCACAGTTCTTGAGTGCTCTCCTGCTGGACATCAGATCCTGCAGAGTCCTTACCGAAGCGTTGATTTTGATTCATCCCATCTCCAGCAATCAGCTATTCAGGATTTGATCTGTGACCATTCCCTAACACCAGGATGGTATCGCTTTATGATTTTTGATAAGCCTGCTGAGATGCCAACCAAGTGCGTGGAGGTATTGTTACAAATCATTTGATTCTGAGAAGTAACTCTCTTTGCTGAAGAATTTTTCAGTAGAATAGATATAAAAAAAAAAAGAATATGGTTATGGAGACTGATGTGGAAGAATACAAAGTACCCATCTTTTCTAAATACTTAATTATATTAAAATTAAGTCTTAAGCATTGAAAATTTTACACTGAATGGGCAATAGCAGAAGATGATAAATTAAATCCCTTCTAGAGCACTCAAAAACTGTAATTTGTAGTCAGTGCTAAAGAAGATTTTCTCAGTGGCAGCATAGCAGGGATATCATGTTGTAAAGCTGCAACTATGTGATGGTCAGTCCATTAGCAAAGCCATGTGAAAGCAGAATAATAACTTGAAGCCACATGAATCCAGTACTTGTGGAGCTTTTAAAGTGATCATGTCAGAGAGAAGGGATTACTCCCTAAGTGACTTGAACTAACAGAGCTAACTGAGGATGAGTTATCTTGTCATCTGCAAGCCCCCAAAGACTCAAGAACTACTTGAAATATTTAATACTTTAGATGTGTAATTCTTTGTTTTGGAGCATACAACAAACTGTAATATTCTAAGAAGATATGTCTTTGTCGTTTCCTATTTTAAAACATTTCCGTGTTTAAAAACCTAAGAATGCCATTAGAATATTTTACCCTTGGTTTTTCTAAAAAATTGAAGTCTCCTGGTCACAGTCTGTTAAAAAATTAAAATAAAATCCCATCAATTAAGTGCTTCTAAAGGAATACAAACTAGTTAAAGTATACTAATGAATTAAATTGAGTTTATAGCAGCCTGTCTTATTTTTATTTATTTATTAAAACTTTGCAGCTATATAGCACCACTGAAGTACCCTTAACGTGCAGCTGACTCAAAGACTAAGAGGGATGTGCTGCAGAGGCTACTCATTATCCAGATTTTATACTGAAAAAAAAAAAAATCAAAAAGTATGATTCCTGAAGGACTTTCTTTCAATTATGTTTAATACAAAAAAAAGGAAAAAGTTAATTAACTGGTTGTATTTTCTCAAAAATGGATTCTTTTATGTAAAGAGTTAGCATGAAAACCAGTCGAAAAAACAGTGTGTTTTTCAGAAGAGAGGTTAGACAAAATATCTACTGATTTCATCTAGGTAGGTTTTAGAAATTTGACTGAAATTCTCAGTGCTTAGTAAATATTGTTAAAAATAGGCTGCTATCCTAACACAGAGGAGCTCGGATAATTGCAGTTGGAAAGAGATTGATTCAAAGCTTATTCAGCAAATTAAATTTATGCCTTGACATCTGCTTTTTTGCATCTGTTGACAAAACCAAGACATTTATTTTGAATCTCGAAGTCAAAACATTAAAAACAAACTAAAATGGATGTCTTGTTGAGGAAGTTTCCTCCTTTCTTTTCTTTTAGGGGAACGTTTATTATAGCTGCATTTAATCTCTGTCAAAGATTCAGATTTAAACAATCCATCCCATTTCTGAGTACTTGTTATTAATTCTGTCCTTCTGATGGATTGATGGTGGGCTCAGAGATTCTAGATTAAGAAAGAAAAGTGTAATTTAGAGATAAGTAATTGCTCAGTGAGTCTGCAGTAGACTTTATACCAAGAGATCTGTTGATCTGACGCCTTGTTGCACTATCAGGTCAAAGAAAGGAATACTTGAGGCAAAAACTGAAGAAGAGGGTCTCAAAATCTCACAGTTTCAGATTTATAGTTTTCATGTAAATGTTTTCCAAATGCTGGCTTTAACATGCTGTGTCCCTCTGGTTGTTTCTCTTCAGTTTGCTTCCAGCAGCACATGAAAGCCAGGAGTTGATCTTTAACTCATTCTGGTAACCCACGAACCAGATTCCCTCTTTGCGTCCTCTTCTCAGAATTCATTTTTCTGTATTCCACTGGTCAACTCTTGTGTCTGTTAAATCAGACTTATGCTTTGGTTACCATGGTTGGTACTACTGTGAAGTTGTGGCCTTCAGGGCATCTTCTTTGATGTGAAGACCTGACATAGCCATAGCAGTGAGGGGTGAGGGAGAGTTTTCCACTGAAGACTTCTTACTCCATGAAGAGAAGCACTGAACAAGGCTTTTGCTTGCAAGAGAAGGAGCAATAATCTGCTAAAATGACCTGTTCAATCAGCATCTGCACTACAAACTGTGGTCCACTGCTTTGTAAACACCAAAGGATTGAGGGTTGTTACAAAGTCAATGTGATTGTTATGGGGTTGCAACAAGCGTATTTGTGTATAAAGATGAGGAACTGAAAGACAGACGGGGCTTATCAGTTGTCTTGCATTTTCAGGTTAGGCCACATCTTTTAGAGGAAATCCAGGAGATTAGCAGAGCCTTCAATTCATGGCAAAGGGTGTTATATTCAGTTTAGTTGATATTCAGTGTGTGTGTGTTCTGCCTTGTATTTGCTGTGATAGCGTTCACACAGTCAGTTACTGCAGGTTAATGGGTGCAGAGTGTCACCTTCTTTGGGCAAAATGCTCAGTTGTGACTCCCAGTTAAGTTCTTCAGACAATAAATTATAGCCTGTCTTTAAAAAACCGAATTCATTAGACTCAGTAAAGGACTTAAGTCTCTTTTGTGTACATTTGTATTCAACCTTGAGGAGGAAAGTCAGCAAGCCCTCTATTACACTGTCTAAACTTTGGTAAAAGCTCATGTAGGTAATTAATTAATATGTACCTCTCGTTAAAACACAGCAACAGTTTGATTTAGCATTAACCATTTTCTGATCTTTTTTCTGGTGGTGAAGATGAATCACTGTGGAACTCAAGCCCCTATCTGGCTGTCTCTGAGGGAGTCAGAATCCATGCCTCGACCTGGTGAGATCAAACAGTTAACAGCTTGTGCTACATGGCAGTTTTTCTTCAGCACTTCAAAAGACTGCTGTCTTTTCCGAATCCCTGTCAGGGTGAGGAACTGTGGAGACTTCTTTGTTTACTTACTGCAGCCCACCCAAGGATGCATGGGTTATTGTGCAGAAGGTGAGAAAGTGCATGCTCTAATTCAGATAAGTGTGTGTGTGCTTATAAGTGTGTTTCTGTGATACTTGGCTTAGTGGAAATGTCAGAAAATAGTTATGCTAGAATTTCTTGCAGTTCTTACTTTTACTATTCATAAATAGAAGAATGATTTGAAATGGTAAGGTGGGTTCAATTCAACCCTTTTTAACTTACATGTAGCACTCAACTATTGTTCAAAGCTCAAAAACTTAAGAACTGAAATTTTGCATGTAATGAAGTGGGGTTATTAAGACCCATCCGGAAACAAAAATTCACTGTACCTACAATGGCACTCATACTCCGCAAATACCCATTACTGAACATACATAGAATTACGTATCGGAGTGAGCTTTGTCTAAGAACTTGACTAAACTGTGTTTATATCTGTTATTTAGCATTGTTCAGAATACTTTTGTTGCTGTAATTCTCTTATCTTCATTCTGGGAAGCATACACTTTGTTGCTAGAAGAAAATTTAACACAGAAATACTTTACTGATGCACACTTTATTAGTACTGTGAGAAAGAAATTTAGATTTTTTGCAATGTCTCGCGTTGTCTTGGACCCTTGTGCTGCAGAAGTCTGTTGCTGTTCACAGCTCAAAACTTCAGTATTTCATTATTCATGCCAGATTTTTCAGATAACTTAAGTAAAGCATGGTTAAATCCTTACAGTTATACTGGGAAACACTGTGAAATAGGGACAAATTAGTGCAGTAGGAAATTCTTACTAGCTCATATAATGTACCATAGTGAAAATCCTAGCAATATTTTTATGCATCATATACTGCAGTACTCTGAGTCATAGTCTCTATTACTGACTACTTTCAGAAGCTTAATAGCAAATCTGCCAGTTGGCTTTCTGGTGCCTTTGTGGCCTAACATTACATCTTTAGGTCCAATTGTGAAAGCATTCTCCAAGGTTTCAGCGTGCATGTGACTGAAACAATGAAGAATTCCTGCACAGTAGGACTTGCATTTACTTTGGCTCAGGGCTTGTGAAGAGGAAGGAAGATATAAAACCAGAGAGGCAGCAAGCTAGCAAATTTTTACTGTCTCAAAACAAAGCAGGCAAAAAGCATAACTCTTATTTGGCTCTGCTGAATGCTGTAAATCTGAAACACATTTTGAGTTTACAAGCACTCGTATAAGATGATGTTTTTGCATTAAGTGCACTGTACTGATGTGCTACGTTTAGTATCTAGGTTACCATGTGTACTGTGTTTTCTCTTTCACACTTGATAGCTGTAAACACTTGATGCAAATGTTCAAACAGTCTGTCCTCTACATGCTAAGGAATTCAGATGTTGAATTGTGAAGTGTGGAACAGTGAAGTCTTCATTCTTTTTGGTGAATGAGGTTTTTAGTGTTGTTGCTGCCCTTCTTATGTAGTTTGAGTGGAGTGACTAACCTCTTTCTACTCCTATTACAAATGCAAAGTTCCACTTATTTTTTTATGGTATTCAAAGTACAAAACAATAACAGTGCAAAAGCACTTTTTCTTAGGCCCCTGTAGGAAAGAGGATTTTTTTCAAGGCAGGTCTGCACTGAATTTGGCTGTCCAGAGTTGCGGTTAATGAATAAGTGTTCAGACGTGGATTTGGGAAGGCAAAATATACATTCAAGAGAATAGTTTAATTCCTTTTTACTCAGTAACAACATCTATAAGTATTGGCTGAGTACATCAGTAGTAAAAGATGCAGAGGTGGTAAAATGTTTTGTATACCCTCTCTCTCCTGCAGTCGGATATGTCTATCTCGTATTGGCCTCATAAGCCACCAGCGTGCTTGTAACAAACGTGGATAGAACCTTCCTAAATCTTCGTTCACGAAGCCTAGCCATGATGACCCTCTCTCCGAGGTGATTTCCAACACAAGCCTTTGTACTGACTGCTGCCATAGTTATATATGGATCAGATTACAAGATTGCCTCTGTTCTGCAAATTTGCACTTCAATTAGTGTTTTGTGATATTTGGTGTGTTTGTAATATAGGACAATAATTTAAGAGCACTGGAGCACGTACACTGTATGTGTGTGAATATACAATGTAAGAACAATTTATGATTGTTTCAGATGCAAAGACACAGATGTGTGATCCTGAGGGAATGGAATTTCAAGGTGCCTGCAGCAGTGAGTATTTTGTTTTGATTTTCAAGATTTTCTGTGCATCTGTGACCCAATAATGTCAACATTTAGTCATATTCTGTCTTGAATAAAAATTGCTTGGCTTGTTGCAAAATGAGCAGTTTGGAGGTAATGTCAGACAAATCTGGATTGCAAAAGTACTTTCTCAGAATAATGTTTTGAGTAACAACTGAAATGTTAAAAGTAATTGTGATAATTCTGATTTACAGATTAATTTGATTCTTTGGAAGTACAATATAAGAGGAATCTGCAAATCTGCAGTTGCTTATTCTGTTCCTTTCTAAATAGCTCTTTTCTTTTCCTTTATTCTTTTTTTCCTCACTTTCTTTGTAAGTAGTGAAATTATTCTACTCTAAGGCAAATTCTTTTGCATGTTGCTCTCTCCTATCTGGTAAAATAATTAATTGTATTTTATTCCCTTGTTTATGTTTTTTTTTTTTTTTTTTTTTTTAATTTCCCCTCCCCCCTTTTAGCACCTTCCTATTGGTTAGACTATAATAAAAGGTTCATAAGGAGTTTTTCTCCATTTAACAATTCATAAAAGGAAGATACACATTTTTCTTGATTCTCTTACGAAATTATGTAATATTTCCACATATGAAAAAGGTAAATATTATTAGTTTATTAACTGGCAAAAGGTAGTCAGTGTCATTTTATCCAATACTGATTTTGTGCAGAATAAAAAGCACAAACCACACTTCTGTTTGAACTAGGTAACCTGGCTGCTACATCAGCTCCATCTGTGTCACCACCACTACCATCCGTTCCTGAAGTTGTAGCAGAGATGATCAAAGGCAGCATTTACTTAAGGTGTACCTTTGGCGTTCCTTCTGCAAACAGCTCTGTTGGATTCATTGTAACTTGGTCAAGACTTTCCCCTGAAGGTATCAAAGAAGAACTTACACACGGAACAGCAGTTCATACCTTCTCACTTCTAGAACTAGATGGGATAAACGTCAGACTTGGAGACAGAGTATGTTAAAACTTAATTATAATTTCTCTGTAACTTTGTAAATATGGCCCAGTAGACACTAAAAGTGATCAGAGATCCAGCACCATGCTGTATAAATTTTCCTGGAAGAAGCCTACTGCCTCTACTTGTTTACACCAACAGTGCCCATATGAATGTGTAAATACCACAGAACATATCAGTGATTACCACTGCCTTTAAGGTTTTGAGACTGTTTCACTGCAGTGTAGTATGCATCCAGGAGGTAAATTTTTATTAACGTTGCATCTTCTTCACCCTCTACTGTGATTTTAATTCAATACTGTAAATTAGGAGGATTTTTGGATGCAATTGCATCTCAATGAGAGGCTGTAAGAGCCAGAGGCTGTGTTGTTGATTCATTAAATAGATTTTTTTTCTCTGAATCAATAATGAGCTGCTGCTTAATGGTTTTGTCTCTAGGATTGTATTTAAATGGTTTAATTTCTGCCATCAGAAATTACTCAGTGTGAGTACCTGCATTACTTTCCATGGTAGCAGAATCAAGACATAGACTCTCATAGTAACTTTGAGAAGCTTAAGCATTGGAAAAATCAATAAATATATTTACAAAATAGAGATTATTTTTCCAGGCCAAAATAAAAACCAAAAAACCATGTGGTTGTTGTGCATCTGTGTGTTCAAGCCAAAGACAGGCTGCTTGGATGGTTTATGCACAACAATAACAATTGTTAATCCTTAAAAATCATTCAGGGACTTCAGTGACAGTCAAAGGGAAAGGCACAGTCATAAGTTACCTGCTGCTGCTATGAATCTTTGGTTTTTTACAGGATTGGAAATATTGCATGTGGTCAACATATCTCAAAACGGATACAACAAAATTAAAAAATAAAACAAAACAACAAAGCCAAACACAAAACCGAAGCAAACCCACAGTGTCTAGTATCAGGGAACTAGTGGAGGGAAATCACAGCGAATTCATCATCTTGAAAAAGATTATCCAGGCCTGTAACATCAGAAAAGCATAATCTAAGACCTAATGGGCACAAAAAATAATTAAAGGGCAAAAAATGTGAAACGGAAAAAAAAAGAAGTAAATAACATGTTATCAAGTGTAGAATGCATTTTTGCAAGATGTCATGGGTTGCAGAAATGCTCCAGAAAAAAATGTTTAAATCTGGGGAGAGTCAGATATTCGTTAAATGGTATGACTTATATGCAGCTTTTAGTTCAAGAAGTCTCTGCACCACTGGTAGTGTACGCCAGGAAAAGGTCTTAGGTAGCTCGATCTGTTTCTGTTTTTTTTTTCTACGCTGTATTTACCAATTACCACTGGCAACTGGTAACTTCTGGTGCAATCAGAACACTGGCCATGACGAATCCATTGAACTGACCCATGGTGACTGAGTTTTGTCTTTATTTGACCGCTTCATACCAAAAATGTATTCTATTATGCTGGTTTTGCCCTACAGGTCTACTGTAGCTGTTCTACTTTTTTCATGGAGAAGCCAGATATACAAAGCTCTTCAGTTGAGAGCAAGGAATTTTTTGCTGGAATTAAGGTAATTTTTAAAAAACATTATGTTCTACTTTATTGTCGTAGGAATCTTTGAGTATTGCTACAGCAGCCATTCCTCTGACTAGAAGGCACTTAAAATGTATTAATTGTGAATTAATAGAGCATGTTGTCGGCTCTTTGTGTACTCAAGGTGCAGGAAGGCTGAATTGGCACCTTGCACATGCAGTGCAAGCCTTGGATTCCAGCAGCTTGAGCCAACTCTGGCCCAGTGTTTATAAACATGGAGGACCATGGCTCAGACCTGAGCCCAGGGACACTGTTGTCCCTTAGTTTAATGCTGCTGCCATTTCTGGCATGATGTTGTCCTTTGCCAACAGGCTCTTACAGCATGTGACTGACAGGATAGTCTAGGCTGGGCCTTCTTCCCAGGAGTGAGGGAAGGTGAGGCCAACCTGATCTGGGCTTAAAGAGGGAAACTGGGACATGATCTGTGAGTTCTGTGGATACATCTGTAGGGACCCGTTCACTGGCCAGGAATGGGACCCCAGTCCAGGAAAGACATAATGCATGTCCTTACGTGTTGGGTATAGTCTTATTGACTTAGCCTGAGCTTATGTTTCTGCAGGATCAGGGCCCAGATTTATCTCAGGTAAGTGCAGGTCTGAAGTGTACACTGCAAAGGCCCAATGTGTTATTTTTGTTGCCCTGTGAGGCTGAGTTCAGAATTTTACCCAGTGTACCAAGCTCAGGTGTAGGCCCCTGTTACTGATCTCTAGTTGCATTTTGCATTATACATCTTTAGCGAGCTGTATTGTAAGCTTATGGAGAAGAATCCCAGGAGAAATATGGTGCTTTCAGACTCTTTTGGGAATTGTTTCCTGTAGGTAACTTTCCCTCTCTTTCCCTCCCCACTCCCCCAAGACAGTACACCAAACTGTATCTTAGCTTCCAGGAGTTACATGGAGAATACATTTTTGTGGGGTTAATGTGGTTTGTTAGTTTCTTACCTTTCTATCTAGCCTTTAATCTTGCCTTTTGTTTATCCTTGCCCCTTTTCCCACCTCTTGAAGGCTCTGGCTGTAGCATCCCCATCTTTTCTCAACATGCTGCTGCTCCTCAGCCCATGTAAACAAGCACTCCTAGCTGGTTAGTAAGCAGTGCTGCAGTTTACTCACGAAGCATGCATTTTAAGTAGAGTTTCTTCTGTGTTAGATGCATCCAGAAACTTATGATATATCAGAAGATGGGAAGGAATACAGACTGACAATAGAAAGTAGCATTCCTATTCCTTGTCCTGAGTTTAGCCATCTTGAAAGTGACTGCAAAATCTCACTGACATTAAATAGTGTTGATGTAGGTAAGTATTACACTGATTTTGTTGGATTTTGTATGTTTAATATATTTTTCTAAATGTTCCTGTTGTATCTTTTCTTGGAGAAGCTATTACACTGTAAAATATTTTCTAAAATGTTAAAGTGTTCACAGGCTGTATATGATTCTGCGGAAAGTATGGAAGAGTATGTCCATATTACTTGTTGAAGTTAGGTGGTTTTTTACAGCTGCTGATAGCCACATCCTTTAACTCGAATAGACAGAATACTTTAATACTTGTAAAGTTTAATTCAGTTAATTTTGTTTACGTGTTGCTTTCCAAGTACTATATATGCAGTACCAAAGTCCTCATTTTTTACTGTTATTGACATTTTCTGTAGTACTTTCTCAAACACAAGTCCCATGAACCAGGAAGAGCAGACAACCATTTTTATGTCACATTAGCAAGCCTATCATGATTTCCATTAGTCTATCAAAGTGGGAAATTCAAAAACAATTTCTTGGGGGTGTGTATGAAGGTGTAGAGAGGAGGTTTTGCATGACCAAATGCAAGAAAAAAGCATAATTATTTTAATTTATGAAAGAGTACGTAGAAAAGTTATTATGTATATTAAAACTAGTATACAAAATGTGACTTACTTAGAGGAAAAATTCACTAATTATGTATTTTCTTTAAAACAGGTAAAGAGCAGTTAGGTTTAAACTTGGCTCTTTCTTCTTGTCATGTGGATCTTCTCCAGAAACCCTGCAATGATGGAATCTGTAGTCAAGCTGTAATTTATTTCACTGCTGTGACAGACTTCATGCAGGATGGAGACAGAATTACCAGAATTGCAGTTGAACCTATATCCAGTGAGAATTTCCTGTGGAATGGCTATGTTCCAGAAAGCACACAGGTTGAAAATCTTCATGTTAAGCTCCGTAAACTAGCCAGAAGTATGGCTGATGTTAATGAAGTTTCTATTTCAGTCATGACTTCCTAACTCACACCAAGATTTCTAAGTAGTCAGTTTTAATTATTTTATTTTCATTTAAATTAATTTTTTTTACATTTTAGTATTGATATAACTACTCAGTTTGATTGAAAGCATAATATAATATCTGTATTAGAATGTGAACTAGTATACTAAGATAAATAATGTACCTGAGTCTGTTTATTTCCAAATCTGACATGGCTTACTATTTGCTACTTTATTCTGAAGATTACAGTTAAGGATCTACCCACTGCCTACTGCTACTCATTTACTGATCCTCATATTATTACATTTGATGGAAGGTAATTACTGAATTGCTGCTCTTAACTTAAAGCATGTGGGGATTTTTTGTGGGTGGTTTTGGTGGGCTGTTTTATTTATTTAAGCATTTATATATTTATTTCAAATCTCTGCTGGTGATACAAGTCAGATGTAGATTTCTGTAACAGCACTGAAGTTTCTTGAGGTTTTTTTTGACAATAAGGATAAATGTGCTTCAGTTTGTAAAAAAAGCTTGCCAGTCACAATGAGGTTTGTAATATTTGCATTTCTAAAGGCAAGCTTTGGGGTTGTGGCAAGAGAATGAAACGAATAGACTATTTTACTTTCTAGAGCCATATGTCAAGAGAGGAGAGGATGCTGTGCAGTCTGTTGACTATGAAAGATAGTAATGCTCATATATGAACCATGATAAAATGATTAATTAGACAAAACTTTTAATGCAAAGGTGTTTCCAATCGATGGCACAGTTTCCCTATTTCTGTGTGTCAGTATCTGAATCCTTGTAAGGATCAAGTTCCTAGAAGTTTTCTACTGTCTGTGTAGCATTTTGCTGAGTTTATTAGTGGCATTGAAGGCAATAGTGGCATTGACAGCACTTATTCAGTACTGTCACTTGCACGTCACTGGCCTTCTTTTTGAAGTGAAGACAGCTTCACTTCAAAAAAACCACACAGCTGTTGTGGTTTTGCTATGCTTCTTTCTTTCAAAATGTTTCTAATTCACAAAAGATGTCTGAACAAACACATGCTCCGAGCCTGAGACTTTCATATTCTCTGTTCAGTAGAAGCACATTTCTTCAAGTAGCAGGGTGAAAAGAAAGAGGGTATGTTGCCTCCAAATAAGGATGTTCAGACCACAGCTCCACTCCTGTGAACTTGATAACAGAAGGAAAAATGAAGGTTGTGATTGATTCTCTGGCGGAACTGTGACTAGTAATAATAAAGTCAATGGAGTTATCCTGATCTTGCAGTTTCTCCTTCAGTAGAAGTTTTAGGGATGTCTTCACTGAGCATTTTAACTGTGGATGCATTGTGATCAAGTTTCCTTGTGAAGCAGTGTTTTACTGTGATGTGGTCTGTCAGAAAGCATATGCTGCAGGGAAAGAACTTTCTTTTTAAGGATAAATTATGTTGCTACTTTATTTTACAAATTGAGGAAACAAATAGAAAAGGAACTGTCTGTACTGAATCATGGACAATCTTATGCAGTCCCAGTAGGGCAGCCATCTGCAGTTTGTCTGCAGGCCCATTATATACAAAGCAAATTGCCAGTCTACAATTAACTGTCAAATGCCATTTATAGCCAAGAGGCTGTTAAACTCACAGCAAAAGTTTGGGGGTTTTCTTTCCATTCTTTCTTCTTTTTCTTTCTTGCTTCTGAATCATTAAATTGGCTATTTTAACCTTGCTTCAGGGGACAGATGGCAACCCTAAGGAAAAAAAGCAAGTTGCTATTTATGGTTTTCATTTTAAATATTCTTTGGGAATAAGCACTCCCCATCTCCATCTTAATAAAGCAGACCTTTTTAAAAAAGATGTGACTTTCAAAATCATTTTGTCAAGGGTACTTGTGCAGTTTTCAGCAGCTGCCCCCACATGCACACTGCTGTGCATCTTATTGCTCTCTCTGCATAGGTATACTGTTGCAGAAACAGAAAGGTTGAGAAGTACCCTCCAGTTCCCTGTCATATGCAGCGTTAAAAAAAAAAAAATCAAAGAATATCAAAGGCTTCATGGTTATGTTTCCATTCACAGCCATTGTCTACATATACTCCACTTCTGATACTTCTTTAATTCCTTATTTTTCTGGTGTAAAAATAAGGTTTAATTTTTTTTTTCTTTTTTTGATTTAATGCTGCACAGAGGAAGATATGATGGTGTTTCTTCAGGATAAATTGTGTGTTAGTCTGTAGGCTGTACTGTTTGTTTTCTCTGACTCAGGAAAATGAGTTGCATTATCAAAGTTCACCAAATATTAGAAATTTGTTTGAAGATAAAGTTGCTGACATGTGGTGATTATAACCAAAGTGATATCACATGCTATTCTTTTGATTCCAGAGTCTATGACAATTTTAAAAGAGGAACATTTGTTCTCTATAAGAGTACATCTCGAGATTTTGAAGTTCATGTTCGTCAGTGGGACTGTGGAAGTCTTCACTACCCAGCATCCTGCAACTGTGGCTTTGTTGCCAAGGAAGGAAGTGATATAATTGCATTTGACATGTGCAGTGGTGAGCTACATGAATCACAGCCACACTTATTTGTAATAAACAGAGACACAACAGGAAGCAATGTCAGAGTCACTGAATCCTACCTAGGAAGAAAAGTAACAGTAAGTAGTGCATAATTGCTTACGGAATAGGTAAAATTAAAACCCATGTTTCTCATGATGATATCTTCAATCTCATTTTAGGTTTTATTTTCTTCTGGAGCTTTCATTCGTGCTGATGTGAGCAAATGGGGAATAAGCATAACGCTTAGGGCCCCCAGTTCAGATTACAGACATACAGTGGGACTCTGTGGCACCTTTGATGGAATTGCGGAGAATGACTATCACACTGCAAGTGGGGTGGAAATCCCAAATCATGCTAATGTTCCTTTTTCTTTTATTGAGGAGTGGAGGTAACAATTGTTCTGTTTAAATTAACTGTCATAATTTTTGGTTCTTCACACTCTTAAAAACTTGTCAAAATACTAAAAAAAATAATCTTCTCAAGTTTTTAAGTTAATGTTAGAATGCATCAATGCATTCCATAATTAATTTAAGAGAAAATTGAAACTGAAGTGCCAAATAAGTATTTAAGTACTATTATGTAAGATTAGTTTGATTAGATTTGAACGAAGTATCAAGGTATACAGAAAATATCCACTCATCTCAATTCTTTTATTATAAGTTATTCTTGAGTTTTTGTGTCTTAATTGGCCTTTAAATATAGCTGTGTGCTGCAGATTCAGTGACATGCTGTAAAAGTATGAAACAACAAAGAACAAAATGTTAATACTTTAATAACACAATTAAGATAGTTCAGATGATACAGTTTCATCTTTTGCTTTCTCGTCTAGAATTTTACCAGGAGATAGCTTGTTTGACAAAACACCTGTTTCTTTAACATCTTCGAGAAAAGTAGTCTTCTGTGACTGTGCACTTGAAGATGATGGATTATATCCATTAGTGAACAAACTGGAGACAGTTTCTCAGTCAGAACTTCCACTGTCTTGTAAAGAAAGTGCAAATGGTAGATTTCTTTCTTTGATACCAGGACTGGATGTCACTGCTGAGTATCTTGGTCCTACTGATCTTGTCAGAGGCTTTAAGAAACGTTCATCTGCACATGAAATGGATTCATCTACACTTCTGCAGAGGCAGGATAATCAAACCAAACTTCACAAAACATCACGAGTAAACTCACGTGTCTTGGCAACCTCAGTGAGAAATATTGGTACAGAAAGAGAAGGAAGTTCAAGCTCAGGCATTAGAAAAAATTCTCAGCGTTACAGTAGTCATCTTCTCAAAAGTCTGTCAGTTACAAGTAGAGGGAAGCGTCAAAATTATTATGACTACCATCCAGTATTCCTATTCCAAAGTCTCAGCCAAACAGACTTAGAGGAATATAGTTATTTTTTCCCAGAGGACCATGCCACTGACGCAGACCAAAAGTTCCTTCCTTCTTGGCCCACACCTTCAGGCCTCACCGAGTCTAGTGCTCTGTTACTCTGCCAGCAGGCAATAGCTAATTCCAGTATAGGAAGATCTTGTGGTGCCCTTCTTGGCCGGAGAACAGAGGATGCAATCAATATGTGTGTTAAAGATTTGCTGCTGAAAGATGACCTCAGCTGGGCAGAAGCTTCCTTACCTCTTCTGGAGAATGAATGTGAGAGGAGAATTTTAGAAGAAATAAATTACAGCCCACAGGAACTTGAAGGCTCAGTTGAGAGCCTACTTACTGCATTAAAGTGTCCCAGTCTCTGCAGTGGTAATGGGGAATGTACAGAATGGGGCTGTGCATGTTTTCAAGGATACAGCTCGTATGACTGCAGCATACTGTCTGGTAAGCGGGGGGAGATTGAAGTAAGAGATTTACTTAAATAATGCTCCTGCAACATACATGAATTTTTCTCTCCTGCTTTTGTACACGGACAAGGGTGGCCCTGTTTATTACCCAATAAATTACTTGCCCTTAACTACAGCTATAAATATTTTCCATTCAGCTTTCTTGTTTCCAGAGGACAAAACATGGGCTTACTTTCTGGTATGCCAGATTTAAAAAGTTTACCACTTGGTCAGTTTGCAATCCAGAGTGTTGCCCCAAGAGATTGGCAATGTTTCCACACACTGTCTTCTTCAGAAAAGATCTCCCTTCCCCAGTATTTTATAGTCTATGTGATCCTCTTTACTAACAGGATCTGTAAGTGGGATGTTCTTCTCTTTATTGCTGTTACATGTCTGTAAGACAACTATTAGATATGATTGGATTAGAATCAATGGTGAAGAAAAAAAAAAGATAGAGTATATAGAGCTGGGCAGGATTTTTTAAATTTTCAATAAATAAGACAGTCACTAAAAATTCAGTTAAGTAGGTACACAGGAAAAATATAAACTCTACTACAAAACTCTTTCAAAATAAAACCTGCTAATATTTTGTTTTGCAATGGTGTTTTTGTTTTAGTGACCTACTTAAAAGCAAATAGAGAAAGAGGTATTCTTTCTATAAAAATAAATCTTTTATTCCTCTTGAAGTCAAATAAGATGGTTTTACTTCATAAAAACTATTTTTAGTATTCTAATCTGTCAGATTATTTCCAGAAATAACTTCCACCTGAGATATTTTTCTTTAGTCCTTAATTAAAAAAAAAATCCCATTGTAAATTATTACATAACCATCACCTTTCCAGTTCCTATTACTAGGGCCTGAGTTTCATTTTGATTTTATTCTGCCAATGTGATGTAAAGAACCATAGTTGAAAAAGCAAAACACATATTCACAAGTCTTTTTTGTCTGTTGAATTTTCTCTGCTTCATAATATTCAAGTTCTAAGAGCAGACAGAAGCCTAGCTTTAAATTTAGGATTCATTTTAACAATAAAAAAAATCTTTCTGTTTATGCCTTTCTTCATCTGGGTCCAGATTTCGTTGTTTACATAGTTTTCATAGTTGGATAGAAAAATAAACATATTGCTTAATGTAAATGCATATTAATGAGTTAATATACTGGCATTTATTGTCTAATCTCTTCTTTCAAGACGAGGCTCCAGAAATTACAGAGCTGGAGAATGCTGGGCTGTGTGATATTCGACAGTATGACTGCACATCAGCGAGAGTTTTTGGACATGGCTTCAGGGAGTCATTGAATCTGAAATGTGAAATCATCAAATTGCAAGTAGGTGTCCCTGAGCAGTGACAATTATATTTTAAGCTTCTTGTAGAACGAGAGACAAAATGTCTAACATATTATTCATTGATGTGGGTACAACCCAGTGATTCAGTCAAAGCTAAAAGGAAAGGCTCTCAGCACTTTGCAGCAGACACTGAATTCTTTGCAAGATTGCCATTTCCTCCATGATAAGAGAAATACAGAACATAATGGCAATGCTCAGCAGCTGAGAGGGAGATAACAGCATAGGGCAGCTATCCATCAGAAAAGGGCAAGGGCAACCCTGTTAGTAACAACCAGTACATCGTTGTTCATTTTTTTCAGTGCTTATGGAGAGGAATTCAAGTACCACTTCTTTGAAAAAGGACAGCAAGGTTAAAGACATTACTAGATTTCTGCCTAAATTCTAATGCTTGAAATAGCCCTTTATAAACAAAATAAATCTGTTAGGAAAAGAGAAAGGCATTTTTCATGTGTTGTCCATTTTCCTGAGGCTATTTAATGGTATACATCAGCTCTATACCCCAGATTTGAACAGGAAATTAAAAAAATTGCATGGTAAATGTTGTATGGTGAACTAAGGGGATCTGTATAGAGAGACTGTTGTTATTCAGACCTAGAATTTGCTCAAGGCAAATTTGTAAGCAGTTTACAAGTTTTGGCTGGAATAAGCAATCAGCAATTACAAGTTTTTATGTCGTGTTAGACACGAGCAAAAAAAGCTTCAAAGTAAAACTGTGTTTCATTGATGTGATGCTGGAGGGGGTGAGAGTTGGCAAAAGGGGAACCATTCAATGGGAAATTATGTTCTTGAGACAAAAGGTTTTCTTAGCTAGTTCTGGCAGATGTTAAAATTATTTTGACAGAATTAGCAATGCTGGCTATAGATTTCTCTTAAACTCAACATATATCCACTCAACTTGGCTTGAAATGATAGTCAGGAGTAAGTTTACACTCCATTAGGTTAGAAGACTTTTAGACCATGCTCACCGTAAGTCAATTATTGGGAATTCACTTATCACAGTTTGAAATGTCTCAGTTTTAACTTGTGGCAAGATATTCTGAAATCTCTCTTTTAGGTGCTGCATTTGGCTCCCGGCTACAAAAACTTTCTATTTAATCACTTTTAGTGATGATCTGTTCACTGACAAGAGCCAATTTACTGCTGTTAGCTGCAGTTGAGGAGAAAGCTGCAAATTTTTTGCTTGAGAATACAAAAAAAAAGGAAGTTTGGGTTTGGTTTTTCATGACGGAGTAATAGTGAATTTATGGAAATGTCAATGGACTTGCAACAGAAGTCCCTATATTTTGAGGTTGAGCTTAAATGATTATAATTTCATAGGGGAGGCATTTTGACAGAATTAAGAATTTTTTAGTTTCAATATTGTCCATAGAGTGTCTTACCCAGCATATGGTAGGAACCTGATAGAGGTTTGGGTTGGACATGGCCAGCAAGCTATGACTACAGAGATACAGAATTGAAATGTAAAGCATGAGAGTGTGTTTAACCTCTGCAAAACGAAAATATGGTTTTATTTCCTTCTGGTTTACACTGAACCCTAGAAGTAAGTTTTTCTATTAACCTAATGAGCTGGAATGCTAGTAGATCTGAGGGCTTTTTAATTGGTTTTTGAAAGGTTAATCTGTTTCTGAAAAAATTATCTGAACTTGCCTCCAGGTAATAACAAAAGATTTCTGGAGAAATAGACTGTATCATTTTTCAAAGGTTACAGTACTAAATGCACTCAAAATTATATATTTAGAAATATTTAGCATTTATACTTTTACTTACCCTTGCTGTGAATTATTTAACTGAATACATGGTGAAAGAAAAACAAAATGTTTGATTGGAACAGAAATAACTCATATGTCTTTTTAGCCAAAGTGTTTAATTTTCTGTCTTTGAAAAAAAAAACCAACAAAAAACCCCCCAAAAAATCCCACAAAGGCTTATACAGTGGATGATCTATGTGAGGACTGGGATTGAATAAACGTCTCGATTGGCTTTGGTAACTAGAAGATGTGCCAGTTCAGTAAAACCTAGTCAAGCTCAAAATTATTTTTAATTTCTTAAATTAATTTCTGTTCTCTTGATTCTTAGGCTGTCTGGATTCTTACTTCCATCTAACTTTATTTTTTTTTCATATGCTTATTCCTACTTCCACATCAATACTTCAGTCAAACAGTATTATCATCCTTATTCTGTTACCTTGAACTCTCAAGATGGATCCTTGGATGACTTGTCTTCAGTGTAGTTTAGAAGAAAAGTCTACAGGGTCAACGGTGTCTTGTCCTATTCAAAATCTACTGGCTTGTACAAGGGCTAAAAGGCTCAGTGCCAGTGTTCCCCCAGCACCCAGAATGATACCTGAGCTCTGCCAAAAACCTCATCTGTTCCTTCGATTAAAGCCTGTCCTCACATGGGAGCAGAGATGGAGTGTGACAGAGGCACTTACATGTCAGCTCGGTGCCGTTGCAGGACCGCCCACTGTTTAACCCTCCTATTACTCCCCAGTTGGAAGAACTCTTTGTCCTTGACAGTGCAGTGCCAAAGGGCCGTGCGTCAGCAAAGGCTTCTCTGCCTTTCTTCCACAGTAGCAGGCTTAGCTAAAAATCTGTGTGTGCAAATAATGTCATTTAATATTTGCCACCGCATTCTAATCCAGACACATTAGATTTGTTCAAAACTGTACAATACATGTGTTTTTTCTCTCTGATAAAAATATTTGCATGATGTGTTTCACTGAAAAATAGATTTTCTGTCTTACTGTTTAGTATAGTAATAGACAATGGATTCCTGGAGAACTTCTAACTGTGCCAGCTGTCTTCCAAAATGCCAGGACTGTCGACTGCCAATTACCAAATGATGGCCAGCAGTCTGATGTCATGGATGTGGTTGATGATAAACCCATTGCCAAGTGGCAAATAAAGGTATTTACAGAAATATTCACTTACGAATATTCCTATTAGATGAAAATATATCACGTAGATGTTATTCTTTTTTCAGTGGTTCTAAAGGTAGAACTCAGCTTGCCTGACTTGGGGTCTCAGTTTCATCACCTAAGCTGAAGTGCTGAGTGTCATTTGAGAGTGTTCTCCTGCAGGGGGACTGTAGATATGACCTACATCCTACAGTGACACTTGTTCTTCAAGAGTAGAAGTTACCCTAGAGCATTTCAAATAACACTGGGTACATTTATGGTAGAATTGAATTGAGCCCAGGCTATATGTACTAATCCCTGTGTGAGGCAGATGTCTGAGCTCTCATACGGATTGAGTCAATAAGGTCAAGAGAATGTACATACTGTTCAACTTACCCTAAAGTAGACACCTACATGTGGTTGGTCAAATATCTGCCTAGACTTATGGGCAGGTTTGATTAGATTTCTGATGACTGTTGTGAGAGTTTAAATACCCATATATAGTTGTCTGTTGCTAAGTGGAAGCTCACGTCAGCAGCCCACACTGGTGATCTATCTATTGATACCTGTATTGGTTAATCCATTTTTGCTGTACACCTTGCAGATTTCTAATGATGGACTCATTTATAGCAACTCTAAAACAATGATATTATATGATGGAGCCTGTCAGATATGCGAATCACAAGAATCTGGATTATGTACGTTAAAGGTATGTGTTTCACTGCTCTCCATTATGAATAAAATGCATTTTTTCAGGCAGAAAAAAAATGTAGAAAAATCAGCAGAATGTATCCTGTTCTTTTTCCAACAGGGATTTTCTATGCACAGAAATGATATGCACAGAAAGACAAGCTGAGATGAGGCAATTTTAAATGTAAAGAATCAAACCAAAAGCACTTCATATAATTACCAAATAAAACCAAACTTACTGTCTGTTACTTAGATTTAAAAACAAGCTTAGTTGTTTAATGGAAGTGCAGAATTATTAGATTTTATTTGGTGCTATACAAATTCATAACCAATTTGATAACAAAAAATATTAATAAATCACATTTTTATTTCTCTAAAAGGAGAAAACATGCAACATAGATGGACTCTGTTATGGTGAAGGAGACACAAATCCAACCAGCCCTTGCTTACTCTGCAGACCTGACATATCAAAGTTAACTTGGTCAGTTGTTGAAAGTAAGTTCTAAATAGTTCTTTTGTAATACCAAGTTGAAAGTCTACTAAGCTTTTATATTTATGGAAATAGTGATGGTTTAGTTTTAACTATTTACAAATAACTAATGAAAATTAACAACTTTCGGTTTAATTGGCACTTCGAAGTCTTTTGGTATTTAGCAAGCTACATCCACATATGGTTGTCTTCAACATATAGATATAAAAAGTATTTAAAAAAAATTATTCTGATACCAAACAGGTGGAGATCACAAACTGAATTAAATGACATGTGATATTTATTAGGCCCTTAATATTTGGACATCATCTACATCAATGGCATAGATACATGGCCTAAATATTTGAAAGTATATCCAAAGTTTTCATACTTAAGTCCATTTAGAAACCACACTATGTAAAGAAGACCTAAGATTTTCCTTTTCCTTTTCCATAGTATAAAGTTCTAGACTAGAAATTCTTCTTTTGGCTCAGATTTTGTATTTTGCATTGGTGTTTATGTGTATGAATGTTCTGGCAAGACTCTGCCTGGATTGGAAAGGGTCTTGTGTGAATGGGACTCCTGGTGCCTGTGTTGGTGAATCTTGTCCTCATTCAAACTTGTACTGAAAGCCAACGTAGCTATATCTATTTCAAAAGAGTGAAACCTGAATGAAAGGAATGAAATGAAACTCATCCAGCAGTCAGGAAGTCAAGGGATTTCCATCTTATAGTCATATAGTTAAAATATAGTGGTTAAATTCAATAAATTTTTTTTTGATGTATAGATGCAGTGCATTACAAGCTCTTGCAAAGTAAAAGTAATTTCTTGGTTATGTTGCTATAGTTAAAATGAAAATATCAAGTGTTTTTTCTGTGCCATACCAATGGCATTAGAATTTAAGAGAAAAAATTCAATGTGACCTCCTTAATAGAAAGATATTATCCTTTAAATTTTTTAAGGTATACTGTAACTTTTGCTTAAAAGATGAAAACATCTTCTTTGTTACAGGCAATCAGCCTCCAGTCCTTGAAACTTCTCAGGTTATGCTACAGACTTTTTATGGAGAAGATTTTGTATATCAGTTTTTGGCTTCAGATCCAGAGGGCTCTGCTATTCATTTCACATTGGATTCTGGTCCAGAAGGTGCCAGTCTTTCCCCATCAGGTCTCCTTTTGTGGAAAGCTGTGTCAACAAATCTCCATAAATTAACATTTTCTTTGACAGATGACTGCAATGCAACAACTAAGGTAGAAATAGAGGTAATGAATATTACAATAAAATGACACCTACTAATAAGATATTTAAGATATCTAATTACAGAACTCATTGCTAGTTCATTAAAAAAAATAGAAAACTGTCTTATTGGGCATGTCTTGTAGGTCAGTGTAAAATCATGTGATTGCCTAAATAATGGCTCATGTGTGACAAACATTAATTTCCCACCTGGAAGTGGAAGATATCTTTGTGTGTGTGTGGCTGGATTTGAAGGTGATCTCTGTGAAGGGAATACTGATGACTGTAGACTTAACCAGTGTGGTATTGGCAGATGTGTGGATGGAATAAACAGCTATTACTGTGAATGTCCACCTGAACTTCAAGGTAAATTGCTACTTTATTTACACACATTTATCACGTTCAGTGATAAATAGGAATTTCTAATTATATGTCTGAAATTGTATTTTTTAATTTTTGTCCGTAAATAGCTTACTGTTAGATTATGAAGAAATTTTCTGTTCTGGTGATAAAGATATATGGTATACTTCAAGATTTTTCTTGCATGAATACAATGGTTGTTTATTTTAGTTTACTATGAAAGCAAATTTCCACTGTTTTTCTCCACAGAGGTAAACTCAGCAATATGGAGAAACATAGGAGTGATGAGTTTGGTTACACTGTGATTTCTCCTGCAGATAAACATGTAGTTCCCACAGCTCATTTTCTCCATATTCTGCAATAAGCAAGATACTTAATATAAGATGAAAAAATGTGAATTGCAAACCCAGTCAGCTGTTCTTATTAGCTGTACTGAAATGATAGATATTTTTTTCTCTATTTCAGCACTGGCATACATTGTACTTTTATAAATATGCCATCAAAGTCTAGTGACACAATATTATAGAAAAAATTAAATCTGTATTTTAATGCAGGTAAACACTGTGAAGAGGATGTAGATGAATGTGTATCCAGTCCTTGCTTCCCTGGAGTATTTTGCTTCAATACTTTTGGTTCTTACTATTGTGGTCCATGCCCAGATAATCTGCAAGGAGATGGGAAGTCATGTTATGGTAAAATTCCTTGTTTTTCAGAGAAGTAGTACTATCTTACTGTCATTTAGATTAAATAGCTTTGATTATGCTTCATGTTTCTAACAGTAACTTAAAACTCTTTTCTGTAGTCAGCAAAACAGGACTGTGTCTCTGGTGATGGCAACATCAGACTGTACTGGGTTTCATAGCTGTAAAAAACTTCTTCTAGTGACAAGAAAAAAAAACCATACAAAACACCCCAATTATTTTATATCAAAGTAGAATACAATGAAATTTTTTGGGGGGGGGGGTTCTTCATTATTTTCATAATATGAGAAATTATTGACAAAATATTTTTCTATTAGATTGATTAGCATAGAATTATTTACCCAAATCAAGGCATTTGCCAAATAAGGTGCCCAAATATTTATTTACAATGCAATTACTGAATAACTTGAATTTTTAAAATACTCTGTTAAAAACTTTTTAAAGTTATTAAAAAAATATTTAAGAAATATATTTTACTTTTTATCTGCTTTCTGAATTTTGAGTTGTTTTTATCTATTGAAACTTTACCTTTTACTTTATTTAAAGTTGAAACAAATGTAGCTGCTTCTGTGCACTACTAATGTGCCTTCACATATTTTTTTTAGAAAGCTTTGAAGACACTGATGTTGAAAGGAAGGATTCCACAGGAGAAATTGGAGGGAATAAAGGTGATTTCTTTTCATAAAGAAAATTGAATTTCCAATTCACATACTGATAAGAATATAGTTGTCAAACAAAGGTCCTAGTCAGTTTTATGTTAGTTTAATTTTTCAGTTTGACACAATTTAATTCATTATTGGGTTTGTATTCTGATCTGAAAAATGAGACTGAAATGTCAATATCAACAAATCCCTTAGGTCAGTCAAGTAATTTTATTAAGAGTGTGATGTATGACACTCCTAGAGTTGCCTTTTGTTTTAGTGACTAACCACTGACATAAAATAGGTAACCTGGGGATAGGAACATCTGTTATATGAGATAAGCAAAAGTTTATGGCATTATGTTGAATGCCATTTTCCTGCTTTAACTCAAAGGAAAGGTGAAAGATGTGGCAAGTGACTGTCTTTATTCTAAAACTCTAAATGCTGTTGCTGGCATTTCCAGGTCTGTGCCTGCTGGGGCTTTCTTTGCAGGAAATTCTCGTGTGTCTTTTCCCTTTATCTCTGAATTGTTGTTGAGGGAGAAGGGAGGTACTCTCTCACTCCACTGCCAATGCTGGATAACTCTTCATCAGCTGCAAAATGGTTTGCTTTTCAGCATTAGGAGATAGAACTCTAATACGATTCAGTAAAGTTTAACCTTTTGTGGACCACTTTTTAGGACTATTGTAAATGGATTGAGGTTTCATTCTTCCTCTGCCCCATAATGCTAAAAGACCACATATAGCATTCCAGCAGTCTTGGATTACAGTGCCTTACTCCTTTCCACAGACTTCCAACTTTTCTTGGGCAGAATATGAAGAAGGTTTCATTCATTTTGCACTCCTTTCAATGAGGAGGCTGAGTCAGTCTCTGTTGTTTAGCAAACACATGCAAAACCTACTAATAAAACCCATGTAGAAACTTTAAGAAAGTTGCTTAAAAAGTTTGAAGAGTAAAAGATGGTAATACTTTTGCAACAAGGTGGTGGATTATTCACTGAGAATACTGTCCATGGTGCATCAGTAAGTAAAATCATCTATATACTTGTGATTAAATCTCTGCTTCTGGACTCTCAACTTATTACTAGCACTTAGACACACTGATGAACCATATGCAGTATCTTTTCTTTAAATTCTTTCAGTTACCTGGCTGGAAGCCATATATGGATCTGATAATCTGCTCTGACAGTAAATCTCTTTATTGACGTGGTATGGGAAAATCCTGCTATCTAACTCATATATATGGTGGTTTCTCCTTATCTTCTGGCCAAGAAGAGGCCATGGTGAGGGTGGAAAAGGATGTAAACAGAATACCTTGATCTTCTCTAATTCTACCACTTAGGTTCTACTGCTTACATTCTGATGTAGCACATGGAGGGACTTCTTGAAACAGAGAATGAATGGGCTGTATGTTTATCTGTTCAGAAAGCATTCCCCATGCTCAGAAGGAAGAGTCCGTGGTCACATACTTTTCCCCCCCTTTCTTTCTAACATGCTGCAGGGTTTCAACAATCATCCTTTGAGAAGGTTTTAAGCATCTCAAGCTATATTCCCAGTTCTACAGATGTCCCAAAGAGATTTATTTCTACAGAAATGGTCAGTAGCAGCACAGCACCAGCCTCCACAGTAAAAACAATCACTGCCTGGAAGTCACTTAATTCTCAGAGAAGTGCTTCTTTACAACCTGCTGTTACTGGAAACATTGCTCACACTCTCAGGACCATCAGTGGTCACCTTGCTGACATGGAAGTGAGTTCTTCAGTACATACTGTGATGACTGCATCTTCAGGGAGCCTTGCTGTATCACCTGAGAAAAAAACAAGGCCGCAAACTGAGGCCTACAGCTATTTTGACACTAGCAGGAAGACTTCTCCTAGCAGCAGAGCAAATATAAGCAAAGGACTTTCTTTGCCAAGCAAAACATTCAAAGGTGGCAATGCTCAGAGAGTTCTGCACCTATTAGCCAAGCATAAAGCAAGTAATTTACCTTTTGCCCCTGTCAAAGTCACTGTCCCACCAAAAATGCTTCCTGAAGAACTGAGTGAAGCAGTGATTCCTAAAGCAATAACCTGTACTGACTTACCCTGTTTTCCTGGTGTACACTGTGAGCCAAGTCAGGATGGAAGCATCAGGTGTGGTCGTTGTCCTAATGGTTATTATGGAGATGGCTTCACTTGCAGAGGTATTACAAATAACTGAACTTAAATGCCTGGAAAAAAATAATATTGAGATGTCTTTATAACTTGAAAGTACATTGTTACTGTATAATCAGTGAAAAGCACGGTGTATTGAATTTTCTCACTTTCATTATTAATATTGGCATAGCCTACAGGCTTTTAGTTGTATGGATGCACCTAAAAATATTTTCCTGATGTGTCTTAGACTCCCATTTACAGACAGTGGCATAATGGATTCTCTGTGATTTGTGCATTATGTTAGGCAAAGCACAGTTGTGTGAAATGCGACTTTTATTTTCCTTATTCCCTTTGTTTTCTTCATTGCCTTTCAGCAAGATGTAGACAAACATGTGGCAAAAATATGGAGTGTGTGGCACCCAATATTTGTAAATGCAAGCCTGGTTATGCTGGTTTTAACTGTCAGGCTGGTGAGTATGGTATTTTGATTTTGCCTGTGGTAACTCATATGCACAAATTAATGATTTGAAGAGTGATATTGATTTTTTCACACAGCTCTGTGCAGACCTGATTGCAAAAACCATGGGAAGTGCATTAAGCCAAATGTCTGTGAATGTCTACCAGGATACAGTGGCTCCACTTGTGAGGAAGGTAAATAGAGTATTTTTTGCTTTTGAATACATAAATACCCAAAGGATGCTGTGAACAACTTCCATGACTGTTCATTCTGACAGCAAAGAGGTGTGCTCATTTTACTTTTACTTTAACAGAACCCTTAAGTAACACAATGTATATCCTAATTTTCTTGATATACATTGTAAATGTTGCTTGTGATTGGATATTCCTAAATTTAGCTTTTGCTATAAGTAGAGGACTTCACCAGTGAATGTAATTGCCCCTAAGCTAAACAGTCCTGAAGAGTGAGAAATACTCTCTGGAAATTGTGGCAGGTTTCTTTTTTTCAGGGTGGCCACCACTGTTGAGACTGTGTACTCTTGGAATGAAATTCTTGTTGTTATTCTTGTCAAAAGGCATTGCATATGTCTCCTTATTTTATTTCCAGTTCTTTGCTCACTGTCAGTTATTAACATTTCCTTTTCTATAAAGCATGACCAATCCATGCATCTTTGTGGAGCTGATTTCTTGAACAACATAATTCTGTACCTGCAGCACATTGTAAACCACCCTGTCAAAATGGAGGCACATGTTTGGCCAGAAATCTCTGCACCTGCCCATATGGCTTTGTGGGACCAAGATGTGATACAAGTAAGCAAAAGAACATGAGGGAAAAATACAGAACATTTGCTTCTGTTGTTCAGGAGCAAGAAAGTAAATTATGGTTTAAATTTTTATGCACTCTGTTTAATGCTAGCAAATGACATAATACCTCTGCCTCTTTGAAGGAGCCCATACTTGGGCTTTTTGAACATTAGATAATATTTGCATATAACTTTAAAACATAATGGACTATTAAAGTTTGGCTAGATTTCATCCTGGTAATTTTTATCATTCAGAGAGTCCAAATTTAGACATGCTGTTTATATATAATTCACTTGAATGTACTACTTTATTAACCTGGAATTGAGAAAGTTCTTTGTCTCCTCCTCAAATCCCAGCACTTTTGGACTCAGTTTTTCTTGTTCTAGTCTCATTTGTGACACTAAAAAAAAAAAAAAAAGCTGTTCTTTGTTAAGGAGTACTAAAGAGAATGAGATCTAGTCTTGAAGAACTGATTCATGGTTTTCCATGATACTTAAATGTCTTTGCTTGTTAGTCTCGTGTCACTACGAGCCCTTGCTAAAGTGATGGAAGACAATTGACTGAACTTTCGTGGAGTCCATCAAACTCATCATGTTACATGGTCCACTTGTCTCTTAGTATAGCATTTCCCATTTGTTTTAGAATTTTTTTGAAATTTTCTTGGTTTTTAACACTGAATATAACCAAACCATGGATAATTGCATGGAAAGACATTTTATTTACTTTGTTGTCTGGTGCTAGCTATTATGGGTTTGAGACTGGATTAATCTGTTCAGCAATTCCTCTTCAGCTAGTGGAATTGTATGTTATTTCCAGTGTTGATATGTAGGAAAGAACTGTAATATTAATCAAGCATAATTTGTAACATATCTCTTTCTCTCTCTTCACCCCGATCTCCTCCCCCGCCTTCTCCTTTGTTTTTGCCCAACATTTTGGATTCTAGTGGTTTGCAACAGACATTGTGAAAATGGTGGTGAATGTCTCACTCCAGACATCTGCCAGTGTAAACCTGGGTGGTACGGACCTACATGCAGTACAGGTAACACTCCTGCAACTTCCATGTTCCAAAGAGAGCGTCCATGGGACCTCCCATAGTTTGAAATCTGGAACTGTGTGGCTCAGAGAGCAGAGATGGGCAGCTGCTTACTGCAGCAGAGCTCCAGCACTCCCTCATGACTCTGCATGTAGTTTTGCTGCCAGCAGCACCTCTTGGAAGTCTTATACTGATCCTTTAATTTTGGTGAAGATTCTGTGGGAATGGTGTTACCTGCAGTTATCTTAGGTGTCTAGTTCCGGTCCTTGCAACACACACACATATTTTTATATACTTTATTTGGATGTCATGCTTCCCACTCTTCCTGACCCTATTTCTGCAGCAATGTGTGATCCTGTGTGTCTCAATGGTGGTTCCTGTACTAAGCCAGATGTTTGCCTCTGTCCACATGGATTCTTCGGTGCCCAGTGTCAGAATGGTAATATTTTATATTTTTTCTTACCCTCACCCCTTAGCTGCCAGTATGAGACAATGTGTGAGAAAACATTAAGACACAAAATTAACAATCAAGTCATGTAACTAAGTGGTGCAAAACAGATATTGTGTTATTTTTTAGATTTTATGACTGATTCAATGAGTGTTCAAGGAGAAGGGAGACTCAAAATTGGTCTTGTCTTCCACTCAACATTTGAGCAGCATTCAACCAGTGCCATTGTATATTTTGTGTAGTCTAATTACTCATGTACACATACAGTTGCCATCCTTGACCCCTTTTTATCTGATTTTGTCTTTACTATTGATGTTGGCACCAAACCACATTAATATGATTTTTACAACACTGGCCTGATAGTTCTGAATGTCTATACAAGCTGTCAGAATCTTAGTCTTGCTCTCTTGTTTCACAGAAGTATATCACTAAGGCAAACAAAATACTAACTACAGCCTTTTCCTCCTCTTTCTGTCTTTTAGCTGTCTGCAGCCCGCCTTGTAAGAACGGTGGTCATTGCATGAGAAATAATGTCTGTACTTGTCCTGATGGGTACACAGGTGGAAGATGTGAAAAAAGTAAGCCAGTGTTAAAATCCTTCCAGGATCCAAAAATAACAAACAAATTATTCTGTAATCAGTTAAATGTATTGAACAGCACATGGGTTTGATTTTAAGGTATCTGTGAGCCAAGGTGTATGAATGGAGGAAGATGTGTCGGCCCAAACATTTGCTCTTGTCCTTCAGGATGGAGAGGAAAAAGATGTGACACTCGTAAGTACCTTGTAGTTAACAGGAGAACTATACCTTACAAGTAAGATATGATTTAAGGTTACTCTGTCCACACAAGTAATAGGAAGTTAGTGCCAAAGTACTTAAGTATATACACACGTTGAAAAAAATAGTAGTCTGTAACTTGGAAGAGAAATTTAGGATGGAGAACTAATACCATGCAGTTCTTAGGATAAATCATGAGACCAAAATATCTTTTAAGTTCTTGTATAGCAAATATTATCTGTTTCTTTCTTAATTCTTGTCTAAATAAGAAATATCCATATTTCTGCAAGGAGCTGAGTTCAATAAAGTGAAAGAAATTCAATTTGTGCTGTAGGATATAAAAACAGATAGAAAAAGAAGTTCAGCGAAAGATGGGAAAACTGTGGAAACGGTGGGAAGTGATTGAAATAGAAGATGGCAACGAGCACAAGCTCTTTAGGACAGGCAGAAATAGGACTGTGATGGTAGAACATCTGTGGGTCACATTATATCTTAATGAAGATACTGATGGTGCATAAAGAAAATGTATAAAATGTGTCAGCGTGGATAAAAGCACAATCTGCATGAAAATCAGCATGAGGATGGGTGGTAGAAATCCCATAGCTAAAGTGTTAGTGTCTGTCATAGTACTCACCCGATGCTCAGGAACTGATGCGGGCAATGAGCTCTCTAATGGCACGGAGGAAAAACAGTTTTCCCTGTATTACTTTCTGTAATTATTGGAAAGGGGGTTTTTTTTGTTGAAAAAAATATTACCAGTATGGACATGGATGAGATATTCTTGGAAACTCTGGAAGAGAGATTTGATTATCAAATAGGCACCTAATGAATGGAAACAATAGCAGGTTAATTATCGATTAATAAGCAGGGGCAAATGTGCAGAAAAATGGGTCACAGAAAATAACTTTGGATCAAATGTTCATGAGTTGATTCACCATGTGTTCAGTTGCATGACAGACAAAAGATCTCTCACCAAGGTATGGGGTTTAGAAAGGTAAATTTAGAAAAAGCAAAGCTATTTAGCATATTTCAGGCTTTTGTAGCAATCTGTGATGCCACAGAACATCTCAATCTGTGCTTTGGCTGTAGGGCTTTTTGTTTCCAGTTGCCTTTCTTCTTTAATATCCTATTGATCTTAGATAGATAGTTCAGTGAAGACGATGTGACTCTTGTGTATGGAAAGCACTTAACCTCTCATGGGCGTCCTGAAATCTGAGTCATAAGTCAAAGTAATCACTTGGAATTTAACCAAACTTTGTGATGATGTTTGTGCAGCAATCTGTCTTCAGGAATGTAAGAATGGTGGGGAGTGTATTGGACCGAGTACATGTCATTGTCCTCCGCAGTGGGAAGGAATCCAATGCCAAACACGTAAGAATTATGTGACCTGAAACCTCTTGCTTCAGCACAGTTCAGACTGCACAGTACAGCCATATGCAGAGCCTTGAAGTTCTACACCTTGGTTGTATTTCACCCTAATCTGTGTCAAAGGCAGGATAAAGAGTAGAGATTCCTCTGCCCATTCTGAAGCCCTCCAGGATATGATGGCAGTCTGGGACCGTGGCAGTATGTGTTGGCTTGCTCTAATACTGTACACTGCTGTACCAGCCCTGAGAAGCCATTGCAATAGCTTGAAATAGTAAGATGCATTAAAAAACACCTTACTCATGTTCCTTGCTCAGTCTCATTCACACTCTTGGCATGTTCTCATGTTAAATCTGCATCAAAGCATGGGGGGGATGGGATGGGCATAAGAACTTTGTTGGTACCACATGACCTTTAAGTCTCCTATGCTGAGGGGTGTTTCCTTGCGAAAATACTGAACGAGTTCCTGGCTCCTATAAGCAAACAGAATAAGTATATGGAAATAGTAGCCACTTTTCCTCCACCAAAGTGTTTCCATGAATAAAGCCACATATCTCTTGTTTTAGCTGTATGCAACCAGAAGTGTCTGTTCGGAGGCAAGTGTGTGTTGCCCAACGTATGCTCTTGTCGTCCAGGTTATACTGGAGTCCTCTGTGGGAAGAAAATTCAGGTACATGTGGAGTCAAGATGCCATCACAGATACAGTGATTTGGGAGTCATTGTCTAGTCCACCCTGTCCAATGAAGCAGCACGACATATGTATTTAGTCTGATTTCTCCCTTTCAGTCTTCAGTGAGGGAAAATTAATGAATTTCCTAAGAGCTATTCCAGTAACTTTTAGGCTTTAATACTTAAAAAATTGTTTTTAACACCTAATGTACATTTCCTTTGTTTCAAATTAAGCTGATTATCTCTTGTCATGCAGCAGGGATTGGTAACTATCCTCTTCAGAACTACTATTCTCTCTTCCAGCATCTGGCCCCATTTTAGGGAGAAGTGTCCTGCTGTTGACTTTCTTAGCTTGCATCAAGTCAAGCTCTGATCTTTTCCCAACTAACTACACTGCCACTCAGTTCATCCCTGTTTTATACAAATGTTCATTATCCCAAAGTGTAACTTGGGAGTAGGTTTACTTTTTTGCATCATAAGGTATGATGACGATTTCTCTGTTTTGTCACACAATTTTCTGTTGGATTCCCTTGTTTGAGTGCTGACAGTCACTCACTGAAGTAGTTTAATTAAACATTTCCTTACAAGTAACTTCTTTGTGACATCTGAAGTAAAAGTATGCTCTTCTTGCATCATCTGTGGTGTTTCTCTTCTTTTAATTTCAATTTTCTGGTGCCAGTAGAATTGAGAGATGGGGCAGATATGTTTCAGAAATTGAAAGAGAGAAATGCTCATACATCTTTTGAAAATACAAAACTACATATCTTATGACAATAAGAGACTATTTTTTTCAATATGGATTTCCAAAATTGGCCCTAAAGAGAGGAATATTTTGATTTAAATGTTTACATAACTATGTCTGCAAAGCATTAATATATTTTTAATCTAGAAAATATATATTGCTGATCAGTCAGACGGTGCTGTATTGATTAAAACAGCAAATTTTCTTTAAGAAACAAAAGAGCTATAGACACAAGTTTAACTTATGTTGTGATTCTGTGTATCAGGAAAGCAGAGACTCATGGATAACTTTATTGTAAACATGGGCTGCATCATTAAAGTCTTTTTGTAATTTTTTTTCTCTCTCTCTCTCTCCAAGGTACAAAGGCATCATGATTGAAGAAATGTATCAATTAAATTGCAATGCTTCATGGATGTATGAGACTTGAAAATAGCAAAAGGGTTAAAGGCAATTACAGAGCTTATTTAAATGAAAGGAATATTCAGAAGTGTTATTTTTAAAGATTCGTATTAGCCACAAATACTGGTGAGCTTCAAAACAACAATCTTGTAGTCATTAAAGCATATGTATATTTCTATAATTTTTTGCTACCTCATGCACAAACCCCACAGCTTCTGATGTCTTCACTGGACTCAGATCTGATGACTGATGCAAACTGAAAATTCTGCAGTTCATTGATGCAGTCAGCTGGACTGACATTTCCTTTGTGGGAACAAGATTGTAGCAGCTGCTGAGTGTCTCCAGCAAGGAAGGCAACACTTCAGCATTTCCTGAATGGTACCTTCTGTTTGTAAACACTGTATACATTATGTATTATTTGGCTGCAGACAGAAGAAAAAGCAGAACTATGTTTTTCTTCTTCTCTTGTATTTGCATCATTCTTGGTGTAATGATAAGCCAGTAGGGAGGAAGGAGGGGAAACCTGAACTGAGGCTGGGCTACTAACAATGGAGGCTTCCTTCCTATCTTGTTAACAGTCATCCAGGTGCAGAATGACTCTGGTTTATCTGTGACAAGCCTTTGTAGCCACAAGCCAACTCTTCTGTTTTGACTTCCTTACTTACACTTATGAATTTGAGTACCCAGCTACTGAATTATTGGTGTGTCTGTAAGACTTTAGGCCCCTGCTTTGAGATAGCGTTCAGTAATATGAGGAAATTTTGTCCCCAAGTCTTTAGGAGAAATTTGACAACACTTTTAGCAATGCTGAATCTTAAAATGGGAACTAATAAGCAGAGAAATCTGTTGTATATATGCCATCCGTACACATCATGTCAGAAAGTATTTGTAAGGACTTCTTAGAGGATTTCTTTCCATTACCTATTGCTCCAATGAACTGTTAGCACCTACCAGATACTAGATAGTTTTTGAACAAATAAAATTGCATTTTTTCTTAAGTTTCCTACAGAAGACCGCTACCTTCTCCTACAGCTGTTAAAGACATTTCAGTTCCTGCCACAACGAACTTGAGTTCTGTAAAAGACACAAATATCCCTTTACTTAAGCCATTCAAATTTACTGGTTTGTTTTGTTTATTTTTGTTTATTTTATCATGACTTCCTGTTCTCCTGAGCAATATTTAGTTTACATACTCTAATTCTGAACGGGAAGAAAATAAGAGCTCATTTTGCCATTTACTGCCACTCTGGGATGCTGATTGCCGAATCACAGCTTTTAGCAGCTCTGTGCATAGATTTCTCCTCACCTTTTTATAGTCCTCTTATGTCATTTTGCAAAGTAAGCTGACATTCTGAGAGCTCAGCATCATTCCAGAATGATACCTGATGGATTTCCAAGTGCCTGACTTGTGTATTTAAAAAATATTTTCAGTTTCCCACTTGCATTTTAAATTTCAGTGTTTCCGTAGTTTCTTTCAATCAAGCATCCCAGTGGCTGATAGCCTGATAATCTGAGAACTGTTCTATTATTTAAAACCTTTCTCACATCTCACAAAGATCTTGATGAACAAAACCTGACTAGCTCTTGGAACTGATGCCTCAGGATGATGCTTTGAATACATAAGGTTCTGAAAATGTTTTTAAAGTGCAAACACACCAGGATCACATAATCTCATATTGTAATCACCCCTATTCCACATGTCAGTTACAGAGGTACTGTGCTAAAGAGAAAGAGAACATCTGTCTGGAACACTGCTAATAGTATTTTGGTTAATGAGTTTCTGCAACCCTCTGTTCACAAAACTTAATATGTATATGTGCATTCTAGGATTTCAGGCTGAATAAAGGGTTTTTTTATCATAACTTTTAGTATTTCCCACTTATTTTCAATGGTTCTAAAGGCAGAAATTATTTTGTTGACATTTTCCAAACACAAGCTGTGTGAACAAAAGCACATCCAGAGTTTTGCTAAATAGTAGCTAAAAATGCTCAGTGCTAAACTGTGCTATTTTTCCAGCAAACACATGGTGCAGAAAAATTACTAGTACATGCAAAAGGCCAGACAGCTACTTCAAAGCTGTCCAGTAATTATGCGATTAGTTGAAACTATTTTGTTACTACATTGTCCATCATACACGTGAAACAGAATTCACTGTAATTAAAAAGCACATTGCAACAATGCAGCAAAATTGCTCAGTGCAGCAAGAAGAGGCAGAAGCATAGAGAGTGCTTGTGTACTGAGGTTAACAAGATTGTTCTAAACTTGCAATCTGAAATTAAGCCCCAAAGATTTAGGGGATTTGGGACAGGGAGAGAAGGGTTGCATAGTGCTGGAGTTCACACAATTTCGATACGATGGAACGAATGCCCACTTGTGCCAAACTGAAGATCTTGCAGTGACCCTTAGCACATTATGCAGAACACAGGCACCTTCACTGAATTTTCTTGCATGATTTCTTTAGACACTAAAGAGCGCTGCAAGGTACCTATGTACATCATCCATTTATTACCAGGTTGTACTACAGTTGCTCTTCAGGCCAGCAGAAATTCTCCCAAGTGCAGATTGACTTTTGTCCCTGATCTTGAAAAGATCTTTAAAATGCAGTACAATTAATGCTTTCTAAAGGAAGGACTCGTATCACAGGAGATACCACAGCCAGCCATGTTGGCTGTGATTTAAAAATAAAACCACAAGTGGGCCCCATGAGAAAGGCTCTTTCTTTTTACAAAAGTTAATTACATGTTCTCAGAGGTGTGAAGAGAAGCAAGTTAACATTTCCGTTTACAAAAAGCAAACTTATAAAGAAGAATCAGCACAAATCCTAAAGTAAATAGGTATAAAAACTGAAGCTACTTGACAAATTGGTTACATCAACTCCATTACTGGTCCAAATGGGAAGATACAAAGTTTAAATTCTCAATAAAACATAACATCTGGGTAGATATACAAACCCAAATGTAGAGGTTAGAAAGTTTTACTAACGACTAAAGATGTTTATGCTGTTTCTGTCACATTAAAGGTGTCACATGGCGGTGTCAGGTCATTTTATCCAACTTCCGCCCACAGCTCTGTTTAGCCAGTAAATGATATTTTACAGATAAATCACTTAAATCAATTCTTGCCACAATCACTTAAGAGTGAAAGAGAAAATATAAATGGTAAAATGTGAGTGTAAGTAGATTAGAAAGAAGAAGCACTTCTCACACTTCCACGCACACTCTAAAAAGACAGAGTATCAAAAATGCAACCAGTGCAATATCCCTACAATTTTTCCAGTTGTTTATAGTGAAAAACAGAGGATCCTACTAACTATAGTTACAATTAGCTCTAATAAGTAAGAGAGCTAATATGTTCTGTATTGTTTTTCTTGAGCTCTGAGCTGCATGCATGACTCGCTTCCCACAGAAAGACACATCTATCTCCAAAAACTACATTCTGTAATTTGTACATTCAATCCTCCAGCGAGTGGAAAACAAACAAAAGACAAGAATTACTGACAGTTCTTTTAGTAAATGTACGTGGAATGTGGAAATAATGTGGGGACCTGGACTGTCTCTTTTATTCTCACTTAAAATTTAATTGAATTATAAAGAGAAATTATACTTAACAAAACAAAAAAAAAAAACATGAAAAACCCTGTAGCCAGTAGATGGTGCTACATTCAAGCAGTATTTCTAAAATATGACTACTTTCTGTGTGATATCAAACTACTGTTTACTTATTTCAGTCATTTCTAAAGAAGAAATTAATTAAATTAACATTTGTTTTGGCCTGCTCAGAAACACCAATTATACATCTCTCACTGACTGCTCCTTTTACTCCTAACAATGTCAAGATCTCTTTCAGCTTCTAGTCACCATTATTGTCAATTTTGTCTGTACTAGTCAAAGTCAGTCTTTTGGGAATAATACTGAGATATGATGCCTCTTTGTATTTACATAGTTCTGCTCATTTACTCTAAATCTTTGGTCTGATATAAGTAATTTTTTTCCCTTCACTCCCCTGTAAACAGTATGTCACCTAAGGTATTCAACTCCTAAATTTCTAAATTATGGCATGATTATTGTAATGAACTGTGACACTGAATTTCATCATCATCAAGCCTACTTCAGAACCACTGATAAATCATCTTGTTTCATGCATGAAAATCACTTTTTTTTACTAGCAGGTGTGGAATAGACAGTGTATCACAGCACAAGCAGCATAAAAACCATGCACTTCTCTTATGTGGTCCTCTGTCTCCGGGAACAAATCCTGCACAACATGCCTGTAGCAGGTTTGTCTGAACTAAATGCAACAGCCTCTAAAGCAAGGGCAGAGGAAAGCTCGACTGTGCCACACAGCAATTGCTCATAACAAGAAAACAGGAGTCTCATGAACTACACCCTTGCCTTTCATTTGCTCCCTACATGCTTGGGTTCTCTCTTTTAGAGAAGGCTGGTAACTGAGAAGACCCATTACCCTTGCCTATTTGCTCAGTGACTTGTAATCCCTGGAGAAACATGCCCATATAAGTCACTCTGCCCATGAGAGCTACTGCATGTTCTGTTAAGGGAGTTTATACAAAGTTAAAATGTTATTCCAACAAATGGACTAAAGTGATGCGTAGCTAAAATTCTCCCATCAAAAATTCCAGTTTCACCTAGAAGACAATGAAAACCAAACTATCTCTCTCAAAAAAATAATTCATCTGAGCATAATTCAGAAAGTTGACTGATTCAACTCACATGTTTTGGCAAAACCTTCCTCAACTGCAGCATTCAAGCAACGGCACAAGTTAGACATGGAACAATGGACATAGGAGTCTCAGTGCAATATGCAACCTGACCAAAAGGCTGCAAAATCTAAATAAGGCCACATGGGAATATCTCCAGAAGGGAGGCCTCAACATGTTCCACACAGGTGATTTGTGACAGGCACAGCTTTTCCTCACTGCCAGTCTGTAGCCTCCTAGTACAATGTTATAGGAGCATTGTACTGCTCCTATAACAACACAGTCTTGAGTGGAAAAGAATTATCAATGTCTCCAGAAGAAAAACACATTTCCCTATCTCACTGGGATAAGGAGAAGAAATAATTGGAAGTTGAGAGATGATCAGATAATATGACTGTAGAAGTAGTCAAGATAAGGACTCTTTTAGAGTATGGATTAAGTATGGATTAAGCTTTTAGAAAGTAACAGCAGAATTGTCTGAATGAGTACTGTGTTTCTTTGGTTTTGGTTGTGGGTTTTTTTTAAACACTGCTTAACTGATCAAGATCCAGATCTGATTGGGGGGAGGGGCAAGCAGACATAAAGTGATAACCAGGATTTAAATAAGATGCTTTGCAGATTGGTAATGTTCCAAAAAGATGCAAACTGCAAATTTCCTCTTGCAACTCATTGAAGTGAAATTATCACTGAACTAACAATCACTTCTGATGATCTGAATTGAGGGCTTTTTGTTTCATATGCTTTTTAAAACACACATAATTAATAGAACACAATAATTCTAGTCAAAGGGAGAAAAATCAAAAAGAAGAGCATAGATCTATTCTGAAGTACTCGATTTGAAGAACAAATTTTATTTCAAGGTCAGCTGTATCAACCAAGACATAACACTTCTGCTTACTAAGAAAAAATGGGAACAG